CACTCCCCTGCTTAAAACCCGCTTGGTGGTGTCTCCCTGTACTTGGAGTAAAGTCCGAAATTCTCACCATGGCCTGAAAGGCCCTGCATGGCCTGGCCCTGCCCTCCTCTCCGCCTCTTCTGTTTCCTTTTCCTTGTTCACGCTGCTTCAGCTACACGGGCCTCCCTTCTGCTACTGGAATTGCCGTTTCTGCTGCATCAGGGCCATCACCTTCTCTGTTCCCATTGCCTGGAGAGTCCTTCCCCACGTTCTTTGCCTCATGAATGCTGTGTCAAATTGCTGTGTAAATGCCACTTCCTCAGAACAGTTTTTCACAATACGTCACCCTCCATCTTATACCAGGTATCCTCCTCTACCTATTCTTGAAAGCACTTTTCTCAACTTGGAATTACATATTTATTTGATGGCTTTTTAAAATTCTTTCTCCCCCAAAAGACTGTAGGCTCCATGGGGGAGAAAACACATCTCCATTTTGCTTTTAACCATTGTATTGTCTGACCTTAGCAATATCCTGGCACATAACAGCATTTATTGGTTACTCACTGACTAAGTGATGGATTATCAGGGTATCTTTTTTTATCTGCTCTAGCCTTTCCCTCAGACCATGAGTTTCTTGAGGGCAGGTTTCAAATCTAGCTCATCTCTGAGTCCTCAGCTCCCAGCACAGGGCTTGGTGCCAAGAGACATGTAGGAAATGTTTGAACTGAAGGAAATGGGAAGGGTTGGCCACCTTCAGCCAGGAGCAGATAGGATCAGGAGTCCAATGCACTGGGGAATATTAAGAATCAGACTCTGGGCTGGCTGGTTAGCTCAGTGGGTTAGTGCCTAACCTTATGACACCAAGCGCACTGGTTCAGATCTCTGTGCTGGCCAGCTGCCCAAAGAAAAGAAACAGACTCTAAGGCTGTTGGGCTGTGGGCTGTGTGTATGGGATTCCAGTGCTCCTGAGGAGGCAGGAAGTGGCTTTTCCCGCTGTTCACTGGAGGATGAAGAGCATTTCAAAGCTCTAAGAAGGTGGCCTATGGCTGAGTAAAGAGAGTAAGCTGAAGAGAGAGTAAACTGTTGGGAAGACAGCCCAGGGTTTGAATCCTGACCACTGCTTACATGCTTTGTGACTTGGGGCAGGTGACTTCACCTCTCTGAACCCCAATTCATCAGTAAGATGGAGATGATAACAGATCTTACCTCCTCAGATTGTCATGAAGGTTTAGAAATAATGTATGAGTTCAATTAGCACAGAATAGACAGTGATGCTGCTGCTGACGAAGAAGAAGAGGAGGAGGATGACGGGGAAGGAGAAGATTTTAAGTCCCTGGATGCTGGATGCTCCTAAGCAGAACTTGATTTTGACTCATGGCCACTGGAGAAGCCGTCCTGAGGGTATCTCAGGTCCGGGGCCGGAGGGGTGGGGGGTGAGGACAGGTATATAAACAGAAAATAGGCTTGAGTCCCAAAGTCAGGAATGTGGGCAAGAGGTGGGCAAGCAGTGCCCAGGACAGGCCAGGGCTGATGCTGGGCGTGGTCTGAGGGCATCTGAGGCCCACTAGGGACAGTTGGCACTGCAGCAGGACTAGTCACACATCTCTTTTTGTGTTTGTCTGCTGCCCCATCACCCTGTTTTCCTGTCTGTTTATGTCCCTAAACCAGCTTTCCCTAACCTCCCAGAGGCTGCCCCTGGTGGCAGAGGGAGATTGGTGTCAATGAATCTTGGGCCCAAGTTCATCTCCTGGCCCAGCCATTGACTCACAGTGTGCCTACGTCTTGGATTACCTATTTCCTGCCAAGCTAGGGGTCTGAGGGACCTCTCTGAGTTCCCACATGTTACAGCCCTACAGATGAAGATAGCACCTATGGGGAAAGAACCCTTGGGCCCTACACAGAGCAGGGATGAGGCTGGGGGCCAAATGGAGAGATTGCCAAAGACGGCTCTCTCCAGAGGAAGGCTGGGGAACTGAGCCACAGAGAGGGTCCCCAGGGGTGGCCAAGAGGGAAAGGCCATGGCTGGGGGGCCCTGAGGGGTGAAGAATCGAGCTCTGTTTTCCCCAGTGGGCCAGCTGCTCCCCCTCTCCAACTCCCCGCCGGGCCCCCAGGGGACCTCGCTCTAATAATGTATTTGATCGACTCGCCGGCCGCGTACAAGCGATTATTGTCTTGTCGGGAGTCAAACGTATCGATCCGGTGAGAAATATGAGCGGAGCAATGGGGCCCGCGTGTCAGTTACCAGCCCCGCTGGCCCTGGGGAGCCCCCTACGTCTCCTTTAATTACCGCTCAGCCCTGAGCCCAGCCTGGCCTCCCCTGTGCCGCCTCCCTCCCAGGCTCCCCGCACCTCATATGGCCCCCCACTGCTCCCCATGCCCTACCTGTCTTGCTCAGCATGGCTTGAGGCCTCTTCTGTGGCACAGAGGCCACCATCTCCCCTGCCTGGGTCTCCCTATTCCTGGATACCAGGTCCTATCCACCCAGTGTGTCCCAAACTCTGTGCCTCCTTCGTCTCGTGGGCAGACCCATCCTCCTGAAAGATCCCTTCGCTTAAGCCCAGAGACTTAGCTCTGGTCTGAGGCAATAACAACCAGCATGGGACGCAAGAGGGTGGGAGGTTTCATCCTTTGGGGAGTGTATAAGGCTTTCCCCAGCTCCTGGATTCAACTGAGACCTGGGAGGGCAGCACTGGGAGTGGGTGGTCCTTCTCTCCTTGCTCACCCTAAGGGCTTGTCATGGGGTCGTGTCCAAAAGCATGCTCCAGGGGCCGGCCCGTGGCTCACTCAGGAGAGTGCGGTGCTTGATAACACCAAGGCTCAGGTTCGGATCCCATATAGGGATGGCCGTTTAGCTCACTGGCTGAGCGTGGTGCTGACAACACCAAGTCAAGGGTTAAGATCCCCTTACCGGTCATCTTTAAAAAAACAAACAATCGGGCGGCCCAGTGCGCACTGCTACAGTGCGCTGCTTGGGAGCGCGGCGGCGCTCCTGCCGAGGGTTCGGATCCCGGTGGGCACTGCTACAGTGCGCTGCTTGGGAGCGCGGCGGCGCTCCCGCCAAGGGTTCGGATCCCACATACAGACCGGTTCCCGCTCACTGGCTGAGCGAGGTGCGGGTGCAACACTGAGGGTTGCGATCCCGTTGCCGGTCCTGGTCCGGTACAGGCGCGACACTGAGGGTTGCGATCCGTTGCCGGACACGAAAAAGAAAAAAAAAAAAGACAAAAAACAAACAAACAAACAAACAAAAAACACAAAAAGCATGCTCCAGACATGGATGATGTTTAACATGTCCAGGATAGAGCATGGGGGTGAAAAAAAAAAGACAAAAAACAAACAAGCAAACAAAAAAACCCCACAAAAAGCATGCTCCAGACATGGATGATGTTTAACATGTCCAGGATAGAGCATGGGGGTGGCCGGTGGGATTTTGGCCCCCATAATGTCCTATGATCCCCATTTCCAAGCCCCCCCAATCCTAAATGGAAACAGAGCTTACTGGGCAAATGCAGCTTCAAGACAAGGCTCCAGTAACCCCACTGCCACCAGACTGCTGTCAGAAGACGTTCATGTATAGAAATCCTGCAGCTAGTTGCGATGTGGTCTGTGGATCTCCTCTGTGAAATGGCCTTTACAATATGGGATGTTGTGGGCAGAGATGCCTGGAAACCTCTGCGTGCAGATGTGAGAACTGCTGGTTATTCCTGTCATGCCCTCCTGCCTGCCTGGGCGTGTCTGGGTGCACAGGGCCCATGCGTTATATGCCCTTTGCGAGCGTGCATATGTGTGAGTGTGCGTACACACATGGCCAGGAGGTGTGCCTAGGCGCATATGTACAGATGTGCCCTTCTGTCCATGAGTCCATGTGAAGGAGTAGGGGGTATCTGTATATGGGAGTGACCACTGTCAGTAGGGAGGTTTGGTGTTGAGGCCTGTGTACAGAGATATGTTCATGTGAGTCTGAGCGTGCACGTGTGTGTTAAGTGCTGGGATCCGTGTGTAGTAATACTTGAGGGTACATGTGTGTCTGGGTGAGTACGGCGTCCGCGTACGCGTGTGTGGCTTTGGGGCCCCCGAGCGTGGGGCGGAGCGTGCCCTGCGGGACCCCAGGCAGGCACGCGGGCTGTTTGGAGGCCAGGCAGCTCCGCAGCCTTGGACACCAGGCGCAGAGAGGATGAAGAGGGCAGTGGGCGAGACCGCGCCTTTGTCTGCGCCGTGCGCCGAGAGTCCTGCGCCTTTGTGTGACCCTCGCAGGTGTGCGCGCGGGGGCGGGGGCGGGAGTTGGGGGACGGGGAGGGGAGCGCACCAGAGCCACCTCGGGCGGCCGCATTTGCCCCCTGGCAGACTTTTTGCCAAGTTCCCGACCCGCCGCCAGCACTGCCACTGTCCATGGGCACCGCTTCCTCCCAGTGGTGGCTCCGGATGCCTCGCCGCCGGACAGGCGCGGGGCTTGGTGCTCCCCGCCGCGCATGCTTTTTGGCTTCAGCGCTTCTTGGCTCCGGGCCCTTGGGAAAACCACCTCTCCCTCTCTGATCCTCAGCCTTTTCATCTACAAAATGGGGCAGATAACAGTGCCCACCTCCCGAGATGACATCTTCTGTCAAGTGTGAGGTGCAGGGCCCGGCACTGGGAAAGCCCTCTCCCCAATAAACTGCTAGCTAGGGTTTTATTGTTGTCGTTGTTATGCGCCCACCTTCTCTCTCAGACCCACACGCACTGTTCTAGATGCATTTGCCCTTATGGGTGGCAGGAGGGCTGCAGCAACTGTTGCAGGCAGCTCCTGGGGTTGCAGCTGTAGGAGTCAGCTCTTCCAGCCCACTGTCCTTCTGCTCCACTAGCCACCCACCCCCCCGACACACACGATTTGGGGTCTGATGGGCTGCTGGGGTGGGTCTGCGGGCCAGGGTATTTTCCCTTCCGAAGGGGGCGGACCGGCCCTGTGGTTTCCTCCCTGGGTGACTTCCGGCAGGGAGGGCTCAGGCCCCAGAGAGGGCGGGGAGATGACACAGTTGTTCCCCCAGCCCTGGCGGGGCGGGCAGCATGGTTCACTCCAGCATGGGGGCTCCAGGTAAGGGGGCTGGTGCCTGCGCCACTGAGGACAGGCGGCACGTTTGCGTTTGCTCTGCTGTGCCACCTCTGCTGGTCCTCCTTACCCTTCCTCTCTAGCTGTCTCCATTGTCCCTTTACTTTGTACTCTAGCAACTCCCCTTCTTCCCACACGGGGTGCCCCCTCCCCCTTCTTCCCACACGAGGTGCTCCCCTTTGCCCTCACCTTCCACATCAGGCGGGAGCTGCTGACTCTTCTCCCCATCTCTGTTGCCTTGTTCTGAGGGGTCTGGGCAAGGGAGGGATGGAGCCAGGTGTTGATAGCCAGCCCTTACGTGGAGAACCAGGAATGTGGGCGACATGGGTGATCCTTGGGTTGGGGCTGCAAAGGGGTTGGAAGGCCAGGTTGCTGGCCTTGGGGGGTGTCATTCTTTTGAGCGTATGTGTGTGTGTATCTGTGTGTGGTTGCGTGTGTACGGGTGTGTGTGTGTGCAGTAGTTCTGAGTCCTGAGTGTGACTGTCGTGTGCCTAGGTATGAGTGAGTGCAGGGGGCTGTTGTGGTTCATTGTGGGTGCACCTTCATCACTGCACCATGGCAGTGATCTCTTGGCTCTTGCTCACTTCGTTAGCCTCATATGTCACCTCCTCGAGGAGGCCTTCCCTGACCTCCCCATCTAAACTGGTATCAACCCTGCCATTCCCATTCCCCTCGCCCAACGTTGTTTTTTCCTCACAGCAATTATCGCTGCCTGAAACTTTATTATGTGTTTGTTTGTGTGCTTATGAAATGCCTCCCCCACCAAATGTCAGTTGACTGAGTAAACAGTGTGCACCGGGCACTGTATAAGGTGACTTATATGTGTCGGCCCATTTAGCACAATGTGCGCATCTCTGCATGATGGTAGCCATCACTTGGTAGTGTTGATGGGAGCCTTAAATGAGGAGATATGTGTAACACACCTAGCGCAGTGCCTGAGACATAGCAAGTACTCAGTACTTAATGACTATTTTATTTGTGGCTGTATAGGCATGACTGTGGGTATGTGTCACATTTTGGGGTGTCTGCTTAAATGAGGAGATATGTGTAACACACCTAGCGCAGTGCCTGAGACATAGCAAGTACTCAGTACTTAATAACTATTTTATTTGTGGCTGTATAGGCATGACTGTGGGTATGTGTCACATTTTGGGGTGTCTGTGAGTATGAGCCTTATTTTGGCAAGTGCCATCCTCTGTGCATCAGTGTATGCAGGCGTCCCTGTGATCTGTCTTCAACATATATTTATTGAGCAGTTCTGTGCTGGGTGTTGGAAATACAACTGAAAAAGGCAGCTTCAGGTCTGCCCTCCTGGAGCTCCCAGTTCAGGGGAGAAGACAGACCTGTCACCAATGACAACATAGAGTGCCAAAGCCTGGTCTCACACACACCAAGTGACACACAGCCAGCCAGACAGACACATGCAGACTCTGGGTGTGTGAGTGTGTGGATGTCTGTGTGTCTTTCCAGCTGGCTGTGCATGGCTTGGTGTGAGTGTAAGTATATGTGTATGTACTCATTTGGGTTGTGTGAGTGACTCTGGATGTGTGAGTATGTGCACATCTGTGTGTGTCTGGCTGGCTGGCCGTGTGTCACTTGGTGTGAGAATGTAAGTGTATGTGTGTGTACACATGTCTGGATGTGTGTTCTGTGTGTCTGCCCGTAGCGTCATGTCTGGGCATGCATCTTTATCTGCAGACTTGTGCACATTTCTGGCTGGGATCTGTGCACACTTGTTTCTTGTGTGTGTTGGCTGCCTGGCTGTAAGTATGGTGTGTGTGCTATGTGGCAGCTCTTACCTGTTGTCAGTACAGCTGTGGGGCCACTTCTCTTGTTGTGTCTGCTGCCCGTATCTCCATCCCTCCCTCCTGACAGCTCAGAAGTGTTCATTCCCTTGAGGCCACCTAGGGACAGCTGTGGGGTTGGGGGGTGTGAAGTGCTGCTGCTGGGGAGACCAGGGACTGGGCCAGCTGGGCCTGCAGAGGTTCCCGGCAGCACCAACCCTGCCCACAGGGGCTCCTAGGCTGTAGCCTTGACTGAGGCTGACTGCGGAGGCAGGGGACCCAGGGGACAGGCCGAGCGGGGACAGGAGGGGTGAGGGGCAGTCCTTGGGCCCTCTATATTTAGCCCAATTTTCGGTAAGTGCTAACGAGAAGCTGGCCTAAGTCTGCTAAAACTGGCTGGGGGAAATGCAGAGGAGAAGTGAAAGTCCGGGGAGGGTGATGTGGGGAGGGTGGAGGGGACCCAGAGTCCCAGGACTGGGGCAGTCGTGAAAGCAATTGTGAGCCCAGGGCCTGGGCAGCCCTGGGTGGGTCTGACCCAAGGATGGTGGAATTCAAGAGTCAACACGGTTCCAGGGGGCCTGGTAAAGTTGTGCATTGCTTTTCTCTGCCAGTTCCTACCGGGCTGGGGGAAGGGGATGACTATAAATAACCAACCAACTTTTCTGTGTGAATGAGACTTTGAGAGGAGCTTCTGAAGGTGCCAGGGGGCTGGAGCACGTTAGAATCATCTGGAGGGGCTTTTAGAGATCCAGATGCCCAGATTGCACCTGTGCCATTGAAATCAGAGTGTCTGGGGTGGGAACAGACATCAGTACTTCTGTGGAGTCAGAAATGAGCATTGGGCATTCCTGCCTATGCTGAGGCTGAGCCTTTTGACAGACCCTCTAAGCCCGTGGTTGCCAGTGCCTAGACTGTTATGTCATCATTTGGCTTTTGGTCCATGGTGAAAATGGAGCCCCCTATTCATCCTTGATGGCAATGAATTGACCCTTTTCTTGGATTGGGCTCTGATGGGGAGGAGGAAAGAGCAAGAGAGATCTTGGCAAAGGGCAGATTTGACCATTGTGCCGTGGCCCAGCTAAGTGCCGGGTGAGGAGTATGTAGGGCTGTGTGGGAGTGGTCAGGCAATTTAAGGAGAATAAAGGAGACAGAATGGTGGAAATTTGCCCTCAAACAACTTTTTTTTTTTTTTTTTTGTGGCTGGCTGGAACGGGGAGCTGAACCCTTGACCTTGAGCCCCTTTTGTCTCTCCAGCCATTATTCCCACAGAGGGAATCTCACCTTAAAAGTTTAAGATAGGGTTGCCTGGGGATGGAGGCTGAGGGTTGAGGTGTTGAGTGACAGCAGAGTTAGGGGCTTGTTTTGGACAGGATTGGACTCTGGTCATTCGGGGGATTCTCTCATGCATTCATTCATTACAAAGACACAGTCCAAGGCCCATGCAGCAATGACTTCAGCCTGGGCTCTCAAGGAGCCCACAGTCAGGGGATGGGGACAGGGTCACATCCCAGGGTGGTCAGGTTGTGATAGAGGGTGATACAGGGGCAGGGGGAGCCCAGATGAAAGGGACACTGACTGCCTGGGAAGTCAGGGAGTACTTCACAGAGGAGGTGACATGTGAGCTGAGCCTTAAAAAGGAGTAGGTATTTGCCAGTAGAGAAGAAAAGGGTCACCCCGGGTGGGAGAAGAGCAGAGGCAAAGGCCTGGAGGAGGGAGATGAAGGCTACAGGACCGCTGTCATTCACTGACCCCAGACCTGCCCTTGAGAAGTTTCCAGTCTCATGGGGGAGACATATTGGGGCTCAGATGACTAGAGCCTCTAGGACAGTGATGGGTTGACGTTGGGCCAGGGGGTCCAGGGCTGGGTCCTGAAGGATGAGCAGGATGTTGCCAGGTGGACAGAGCAGGGAACAGCATTTTAGGCAGAGGGATCAGCCCATGCCAAGGCCTCAGGAGACTGCAGAACAGAGGCAGGAACAAGCAAGAGACAGAGAGAGCTGCAGGGAAAGACGCTCAGCAAACACTTATAACCCACTCTGGGCTGGTGATGCTGGGGACCCAGTGATGAGTCAGATCAGGCTCGTTCCCTAGGCTGGTAAGGAAAGAACCTGGACACAGATGGCCGCAGCCCTGGGGGAGCAGGGCTGGGACAGCAGCAGGGCAGGGGACATAGGAGGCTGTATAGTTTGCTAGGGCTGCCATAATAAAGTACAACAGACTGGGTGGCTGAAACAATAGAAATTAATTTTGTTGCAATTCTGGAGGCTGGAAGTCGGAGATCAAGGTGTTCACCAGGTTGGTTTCTTTGGAGGCTTCTCTCCTTGGATTGTAGATGGCTGTTTTCTTTGTGTCTTCATATGGTGTTCCTCTGTACCTGTTTGTGTCCTAATTTCCTCTTATAAGGATACCAGTCAGAGTGGATTAGGGCCCACCCTAATTACCTCATTTTACCCGAATTACCTCTTTAAAGACCCTATCCACAAATACATTTTATATTCTGACTTACTGGAGGTTAGAACTTCAGCATATGAATATTGGGAGACACTGCTCAGCCCACAGCAGAGGCCAAGGAAGAGCATGGACTTTCTGGGATGGAGGTGAGGTCAGAGGTTGCTCCAATCTGTGGGCAGGAGAGTCATTCACCAGCTGGGCTTGAAATATAGAACTTGCAAGGTCTGAACTCCGCATCAAACAGAGGGAGATGCTGTGCACAGTGGAAGAGCAGGATGCATGAGCAGCAAGAGACGAGCAGTGGAGTGTGGTGGGCCGCACCCTGAAGGCTGGGCTGAGGAGCCTGGATGTGTCTTGAGGAGATGGGGAGCCACGGAAGGGTTTAGAGCCAGGGTGAGTTGGGTATAGGGGAAATGTGGACACTGGCTGGAGGGAGGGGCTGGGAGGAGGCTGGGGCTGCAGTTTCAGGGTTGCTCGGAGGGGTGGAACTTAGGGCTGGGTTAGGGTTAGCAGTTGGCTGGAAGGGGGCTAAGGTCTGGGTGAGTTAGAGCTAGGATGGGGGAAGATTCCTGCCTTTGCTGCCCCAGAGGCAGGAGTGGGCCTCATTGCCTGCCTCCCCTTATGTCTTCCTGTATCTCTCATGATCGTTCAGTGCCCCATCCTCAGTGCCCAGAAACAGGGCCTGAGCTCCTGTAGTGTCCTAGACACCTGCTCCCCACCCCTACCCTCACCAGCTTGTGCCTTAATAGGACTGTTGCTGGCTCTTTCTTTTTTTTAGCTTAATTTTTGTTGTTGTTGTTGTTAAGACATAATGTACATATGGTAAAGTGCTCAAATTTTAAGTGTACAGCTTGGCGAATTTTTACCTACATATAGACCCATGTAACCTCCAAACAGATTCTTTCTAGTCTCCTGCAGGCTTCCTTGCACCCTTTCTGGTCAATAGCTCCCAAAAGCACTCACTAATCTGACCTCAATCGTCTGATGTTAGCTTGCCTGTTTTTGAAATTCATGTAATTGCAGTCATAACTGTATGTCCGCCTTTGCATTTGGCATCTCTCACCCAGCCTCATGACCGTGAGATTCAGCAGTGTGTAGGAAGCAGAGTCTGCTCTTTCTCATTGCTGTGGAGTGTTTCATTGCATGGACATACCACATTTTATTCATCCGTTTACCTGTTGATGGGCCCTTGGGTTGTTTCCAGTTTGGGGACATTATGGAAAGGCTGCAGAAACATTTGTGCCTATGCCCTTTGGTGGGCAGGGCATGTGTTTCTCTTGGGTGGATGCCCAGGAGTGGACGTGCTGGGTCTTAGGAGGGAGCATCTCAGAGCTTTCTGAATAGTGCTTGTATCAGTTTATACTCCCAGCAGCAATGCCATCCTGGCTTTTTTTTTTTTTTTTGTCTTTTTCCGTGTCCGGCAACGGATCGCAACCCTCAGTGTTGCCCCCGCACCGGGCCGGGACCGGCAACGGGATTGCAACCCTCGGCGTTGCTCCCGCGCCTCGCTCAGCCAGTGAGCGGGAACCGGTCTGTATGTGGGATCCGAACCCTCGGGCGGGAGTGCCGCCGCGCTTCCCAAGCGGCGCACTATCCAGTGCGCCACCGGGCCGGCCCCGTCCTGGCTTTTTAATTAGGAATTTAAAATGCAAGTAGCATTTCACATGCAGTAGTCTTCTATTGCAAAATTCCTAGCTTTTTTTTTTTAGTTGTTGAGTTCTTCCCATCCCTCACGTTAGCTGGCCTTCTTTAAGTATCTTGGGTGCAGAACACACTAGAGTTGGACAACTCCATTGATAGGGGCGAGGTCATGGTTTAGGTGGGGATTTTGGAGTGAGTTGTGGGAGAGAGTTTAGGGTCATAGGCAGGGTCATGAGTAAGGTCTGACCTTGGCATTCAAGGTCAGAAGAAGGATTTGGACCTTTGGGGCACAAGCTGGCCTTCAGGGTGAGTAAGTGGACTGAGAACGGGTCAGGCTGAAATCCAGATTTGTGCTGGAATCTAGGACCAGGAAGGGTTGGAGTTGGTATTGGGATGCACTTGGGTTGGGGGTACTTTTGGAGAGGAGATGGGTGGGAACCAGAGCTGGGGTCCATTAGACCAGAGTGGTCCTGATTAGAAGCAGGAGCCCTGCCTGGAGTCACGCAGACCTGGGGTCCAATCAGGGCACCTCTACTGTCTTACCGTGTTTGTGGGGAGGTGACACTCCCTCTTGGAGCCTAGTTTCCTCCTCTGTAAAATGGGGTAATCTTAGCACAAACTGTTAACGTGAGCTCTGAATCATGTTTAGCTCTGTGCCTGATACTGGTGAGCACTCACTTTTCCAAGATCGGTACTAGGGTGATTTAAGGACAGGCATTTGTCTCCATTGCTTTGTGTCCCCTAGTGTCCAGCCTGCTTCTTGCTACCTTCCCTCGGCCACCTCCTTTCATTTCCTGGGTCTAGGGAACTAAAGGATGAGATTGTATTTGTAGGGGTGGATTGGAAGGTGCAGCTGGGATTCAAGGCTGTGGGTCTAGGATTAGATGGGATGACAAGGTCAGGGGCAGAGCTGGGTGGAGTTGGGTTGAGAGAGTGTCAGGGTGGGGATGCTGGGTCTGTGCGCTGAATACAAGAAGGAGGCTAAGTGGGAGTGAGGTGTGGACGGGGAAAGTAGAGGGCTGGGGAGGGAGCCAGAGGGTGGCTGAATCACACTCAGAGATCTGGCAACTGCCTTTGGGGACGCCGCAGACCCATCACATCCCCCGGCCCCACTCAGAGTGGAAAACATGTCTCACCTGAAACCTGGTGGGGCAGGATGGGGAACCTCAGCAGCCCTCCTGTGAAGGAGGCCCAAGGTTGCATTCACTCCTCTGGAACATCACCAGCCTCCTCCTGGGCAGCTGATGCCTTCTTATGACCACCTTTCACCTCCTGCCCTGCCCTAGTGCTCACGGTGGGTGACACCCACTGGGCCACTTTGGTGAAAGGACGAGGCAAGATCCCCTAAGGCCTCAGAGCCCCTCTCTTGTCCTGCCAGAGGAGGGCAGAGGCCCAGAATGGAGGACATGTCTCTTGGAAAGGTGGCAGGGAATGAGGGGGAGATTTGAGGAAAGGCTTGAGGGGGATGGCAGAGGAGGGGCCCGAGAGCCCTCCTGGCTTCTCCTTCCTCACCCTGATTTCATCCCTCCTCTGTTCTCAGAAATAAGAATGTCTAAGCCCCTGGAGGCCGAGAAGCAAGGTCTGGACTCCCCGTCAGAGCACACAGGTAGGTGGGGAGGGGAGCAAGGGCAGGCAGGTGTGCCACGGGCAGGGTAAGTGGAGCAGATGGGAAGACACAGGGAGGGACAGGTGTGGCAAATTGTGGCTCATGACAACACCTCCTTTCCTTCTCTTTGCAGACACTGAAAGAAATGGACCAGACACTAACCATCAGGTCAGAGGGGAGCAAATGAGCAGGAGTGGCGGGCAGAGGGAGAAGGGAGCAGAGTGGCCCTGTGTGGCCAGGCCAGGAGGGTGGCGCATCAAAAGCTGCATCATGACACTATTCCCATCCCCCCGCCCCAACTTTCTCTTCACAGAACCCCCAGAGTAAGACCTCCCCGTTCTCTGTATCCCCAACTGGCCCCAGCACCAAGGTAAGCACCTGTCAGAACGTACAGGGAAGGGGGTGGTGTTGGGAGAGGGTCCTCAGCACCTGCCATGGGCCCAGGGCCTGACAGAGCACCAAGTCCTGGTACCTTGGTGACAAGGTTCCTCCCACCCCTTCTCACCCTCGGGCTCCCGCCCCAGGCCTGTGACTCACCCAGGCTCCTTCCCCTTCCCTAGGGGGTGGGGGTGGCCAGGGAAATCCCCCCCAGAGCCCCAGGGCGATGAACAACAGGAAGCTGAGGGCCCCGCCCCCATCCCGACTTCCCTGACCGAACAGGGGCATGTACCACTCCCTGTCCCCCAACACACACATTCAAGGGCCAGTGGGTGGGGATGGAGGGGTGAGCAGACCCAGTGAGGATGGCTGTGGCGATGGAGGAGGAGAGGATGATCGGGAGGCAGCCAGGCAGTGCAAATTCCAAATCTAGGTGGGGCCCGTGCTGCGCACTGCTGGGCTTCCTGGGGGCTTCTTGGGCCCAGGTCTCCATCCTCTAGCCTGGTTGGGGGCAGCCGGTGGGTCCAGATACCTGAAGGCAGCATCAAAGGTAGGGGTAGAGGGGCATGAGTAGGACTCCTGGCCCTGACCAAAGGAGGCCGAGGGACGGGGCGAGAGGCTGAGAACTGCACCCTGCCCTGCTCCAGCCTCGCTCTGTGATCATGGGAAAGTCACTTCCTAGCTCGGGGCTTCTCAGTTTCCTCTTCTCCAACATTGGTGGGGGTTGGGGAGGAGGCAGTCAGACTGGATAGCCTCTGAGGTCCCTTCCCTGTCCAGTGTGCCCCAATGCTGCCATGGAAAGATAAAATGCTTTGTGAGCAGGTGTCTTCTCTTCTGCACTGAGCATTTTGAGCAGGGCCCAGGGAAGCAGAGCTCAGGCTCTGGACCTCCTTGACCCTTGGCTCTCAGGCTTGGCTCTTGCCTTGGCCCTCGGAGCACGTATTCATTGCCCCTACCCCGTCCTGCCTCAGCTGAATCCTATCTTTGCAGTCTCTCCTCGCCCCAGCAGAGCCTTCCTTCTCTTGGGGAAACCAGTGGGGTCAAGGGGACGAAGGTTTCTCCCTCCCCTTACTGGGCTTGGGCTCTGTCCACACCTCACCCTCTCTCTGGCCTTTGCCTCTCAACCTCTCTCCATCTCTTCTGTGTCAGTCTTTCCCTAACTGCAGTGATTCATGTCTTCCCATCAGTGTCTCAGATGTATCCACATACCACCACGTATAATTATTTACATAATAATTTTGTTAATTGGTTCAATTTTTAAAAACATTTTATTATGGAAAATGTGAAGCAGATACAAAAATACAGAGAAGGGTACAATGAAAATACCCCCCCAGGTACCCATCAATCTGCTTGAACAATTACCAACTCATGAACTGGCTCACTTTGTCAACAGCTTAAATAGATGGTTTTTAAATGGAAATTTCATGAATGGAAAACCAGAATCACTTGCCGTGGAAATAAATACAATGATTATTAAACTTTACCCAGCGTCTCTTATGTGCTGAGGCCTGTTCACCATTTTTTGAAAGGAAAAATTAGCCAGTATTGGAGAGATGTTAAAGACATCCTAGCACCAAACGGAGACTTTCTTAAGATAACCGAAAAGAATGAAAAAGCACCAAAAAAGGAACAGCCTTCTCATCGTGGCATGCAATGTTATTCTTTTTAAAACTTCATATTAAAATATGACACACATCAAAACACACATAGAGCCTTAGTGTATGGCTCTGTGAATTTTCACAAACCGAGCACGCCCGTGTGGCTGGCACCAGATCAAGAAGTGGAATATGAGTAGCTTTCCAGAGGCCCTCGACGCCCCTGCCAGCAGTTGCCATTACCCTGACTTCTAATACTCAGTGTTATTTCATACTGCATCTCTACAGCTCTTAAACTTTCTGACACTTGTGTCCCGTAATTTGGGACATACCACTTACTGTCTATTATTTAGCCTTTCCCGTGCCTCTGTTTCTTTGTCTGCATTTCAAATGCTGTCCCCCTGCCAACGGCCGTGTCACCTTGCACAAGTTGCTTTCCCTCTCTGGACCTCCTTTTGCAAAATGGTACTGGGACACTGGCTGGAGGATGATCCCTAATGTCTGCTCTGGGCCTGAGAGTGTGGGATCCATCAAGCCATGCCTTCTCCCACCACTGTGTGTCCTTTAGCCCACAGGCCTTTCAGCCAACAGCTGCTGTTGTCTGGCTTTTTATCTAGGAGAGGAAGAAGGCCAGGATGGCTCTACGCTGGGCTTTCTCTGTGTGTGATGCAAGAGTCATCATACTCAGAGAGACGAGAAGGGGCTCAGCAAACCTCTGGGGAGGAGGCTGAAACCTGACAGCACCTAGGCCCCTGTCCACAGCACAGGACAAATGCTGTGCTTTACTTGTCCAAGCAGTGTTTTTAGATTTTGAAGTGAGTGGCCAGCAGGAGCAGAGTAGGAGCTGGGTAGGTTCCCTCCAGCTCACCCCCGTCCAGCCCTGCCATTTCACCCATTCGTGCCATCTGTCCATCTCTGTAAGCATTTGCGCTTAAGGTCCCAGTTCCAAGGCAGTGATTTTTTTTTTTTTAATACCCTAAGACCCTTTCTTCCAATAAAGTCTTACTCCATTGGACAAATAAGAGATGCACTGCTGGGCAATGCACATGAGGGGCATGAGACCCAGAACCCTCTTATTTTCCCTCCTGGGCCCCCAGCGGCACCATGTCTCGTTTTACAGATGGGGAAAATGACTCCCAGGAGGAGAAAAGTACTCTCCAAAGGTGACCTCTCCTGTAGGGAGTTTGGATGCACATGGTGCATGAGACCCAGAACCCTCTTATTTTCCCTCCTGGGCCCCCAGCGGCACCATGTCTCGTTTTACAGATGGGGAAAATGACTCCCGGGAGGAGAAAAGTACTCTCCAAAGGTGACCTCTCCTGTAGGGAGTTTGGATGCACATGGTGCATTAGCCCTAGCTGGTGAGGAAACTAAGGCCAGAGGAGTTGTCTGAGCTGTCAGTGCAGGGTCACAAGCTGCCATATCCCAGTCTGCTCCTCCTGTGCCAGCCTCAGGCTGCCTTTGCCACACATGTGCCCTTTCTTTGGTTCACAGGTGGGCATTCTCTCTGGCCTCCACTTAACATTCTGGGGTCCCGGACCCTGCCTCTCTCCCCCCCAGATCAAGGCTGAAGACCCCAGTGGTGACTCGGCCCCAGCAGCACCCCCACCCCCCCAGCCTGCTCAGCCTCATCTGCCCCAAGCCCAACTCATGTTGACGGGCAGCCAGCTAGCTGGGGTAAGTACTTGGGAAAGGACGGGGATGGGGGCCACAAAACCAGCCACCTTCTGTCTATTGCAGGGCTAGAGGATGAGGTGTCCCACCAAGGTCATGACCACTCTCTCACGCCTGCCTCTTACCCTCCTCTGTCCTTCAGAAAGACTTGTCCTGTCACCTGCTTGGCTCGGGCACTAACCCCTCTCTGCCTTCTCTGCTCCTCCCCCACCCCCTCCTCTGGCCCCTGCTGCCCCTGCCCACCCCACAGCTTACGGCTCTGATGCCAGCTCAGCAGCAGCTCCTCCTGCAGCAAGCTCAGGCCCAGCTCCTGGCCGCCGCCGTTCAGCAGTCCAGTGCCGCCGCTGCTGCTAATGCTGCTGCTGCCGCTGCTGCCTCCTCCTGCACCTCCTCCTCCTCCTCCTCCTCTGCCTCGTCCTCGACCTCGCAGCCCCCAGCCTCTTCTGGGGGAGGTGACCTGCCACCACCACAGCCTGCCAGTCAACCCCCTGGGACCCCACAGCTCACCTTGTCCCAACCCATCCAGCTCACAGCACAGGTAAGGGTGGCCTCCTGGGACCACACTTCCTCCAACAAACGACATGCAGAAGCAGCGAGTGTGCAGGAGGGGCTGACTGAGCCACCAGCCATGTGCTAGGCAGTTCCCAGCAACCTTAAGAAGCCTTGGGAAATGTTGCCATTTCATTTCACGAAAGGGTAAAACGAGGCTTGCGGGAGGAATATCCCACACGATAATCCTCTATCTGACAGAGTGCCAGGCTCGGCACTTTCTGTGCACCTCACTGAGGGTTCACAGACTCCTAGGAGGTTGATATCATCGGATCCTCAACTTACAGGTGAGGAAGTCGGAAGTCACCCCCCTGAACGGTACCTTGGTGAGGACAAAATGAAAGGCTGAGAACCAAAATTAGTGCCCTCCATGGTGTCCCCTGGCTTGTTCAACAAGATGCTCTTTGAGAAAAGGGGTCCATGATCTATGAATTAGGAAACACTGCATTCTGGACTTTGCTGGTATATGCAGTTAATTATGAATTAGTGGCTGTATTGGTTTCCTAGGGCTGCCATAACAAAGTACCACAAACTGGGTGGCTTGAAACAATAGAAATGCATTGTCTCAGACTGTAAGTCTAAAATCAAGGTGTCAGGTGTATTAGTCCGTTTCTGTTGCTTATAACAGAATACATGGAACTGGGTACTTTGTAAGAGAACAAAATTTATTGCTTATAGTTTCAGAGGCTGGGAAGTTTGAAGTCCAGGGAACATATCTGGAGAGGGTCTTCTTTGGTGGTGGCTTTACAGTAATGCAGGGGTGTCACATGGCAGAAAATGGTGGAGCAGAGGGAGAGAGACTCTCATGTGCTCTTCTTTTAAAGCCCTCAGAACCAAGCCCCTGACCACCATTATTAATCCACTCAGTATTGCACAGTCCTGCAATTCAATCACCTCTTCAAGGCCCCACCTTTCAATTACCATGATAGGATTTCCCATTCTCAACAGTGGGAATTAAACTCCTAATATATGAACTTTGGGGGACACAGTTCAATCAGTCCACAGCAGCAGGGCTGCACTCCATCTGAAGGCTCTAGGGGAGAATCCCTCCTTGGTTTTTCTAGCTTCTGGTGGTGCATCAGTCCTTCTGTTCAGCGGCTTGTAGACGGATTGCTCCAGTCTCTGCCTGTGTTGTCACATGACCATCTTCTCTCTGTGCATGTCTGTCTCTGTATCCAAATTTCCCTTTCTTGTAAGGACATTAGTCATTGAATTATGACCTACCCTAATGACCTCATTTTAATTTGATTACATCTGCAAAGACCTTATTTCCAAATAAAGTCACACTTACAGGTACCAGGGGTTAGGACTTCAACATATCTTTTTGGGGGACACAATTCAACCCATAACAGTGGCCAGTAGATTTCCCATAAGGACGGTTGGTGGGGACAGAGTAGGAGCTGAGTAGGCTTCCCCTTCAGACAGGCGTGCTCCCTGCAGCACACCCCCCTCCACCCCCCATCCGCACCTGCCCGTGTCACCCATTTGTGCTGTCTGTCTGTTTTCCATAAGCATCTGAGTCTGTGACCAGCATTCTAGGGCTGTGAAGGTCCTGAGAGGTCCTATAGCAAAGAAACCAAAGAAACCTGTTTAACTTCCCTTAGCCTAGCATTTCTCACAATGACTGCTCCACAGATCGCTTTTCTCTCACTCTCTCCACCCCCTTCCACGGAACCCCTGGTGCAGATGCTGTCTACTCATGCAAGCTGTCCAGACCCTGCGAGGCTGTTCCCTTACTGGACAGGCCGTTCCATTACTGATCTATGCTCCCATTTGGGACTTTCTTTAACTCTGAGCTGATACTTGCCTTAGAACTTCCTGCCACTGGGCCTGGTTCTTCCAACAGTCAGAGCAGTCTGGGCCACTGCGACAAAGTTCACCCCACTGGGCAGGCCGTTCCATTACTGATCTATGCTCCCATTTGGGACTTTCTTTAACTCTGAGCTGATACTTGCCTCCTTAGAACTTCCTGCCACTGGGCCTGGTTCTTCCAACAGTCAGAGCAGTCTGGGCCACTGCTCCACGATGGCTTTTGCAAGCGGAACCCCCCATATCTGGCTCACCACAGTAACAGTAACTGTAGTCTGTTAGGTGCTGCCTTTGTACCAGGTACTGTGCCAACGATCACCTCTTTGAACACACAAATCCTTACCACAGCCCAGGCCCTGAGTGGCAAAGTGACTGCTGTGGGTCACGCTGTCAGCAGGAGTGCAGAGCCGGCCTGGGAGCCCAGTCCGGGAGCCCAAGACTCCGACCACATGATCCACGGCTGCTGCCTTCAGCCGTCCTTCACGGGACATGGTTTCCAGCCCCTCCCACCCTGGCCACCAGAGACTGTAGCAGCAGGTGTTCCGTTTGCCTCGTAGCATACACAGCCCTTTGCTGAACGACACCAAGGGCTTGGGCTCCTCACTGGGGTTGGGCTCTGTCGCATCTCAGTGGCCCTGCTCTTGTTCTCCTTTCTACCTAGAAGTTTGCTCCTTCCTTTACCTGGACAGCTCCTGTTCATTGGTTAAGCCCCCATGCGAGACTCCACACTTCCAGGAAGTCTTCCATGACTCCCCTCCCTCTGGCTGTGTCCAGATATGCCTGAGGAAGTATCTGTTGAGGGAACAAAGACTGGAGGCACGGAGAAGGGACGGGGCAGCCTAGTGCAGACCCAGGCAGGCTGTCACCCCTGTGAGTGGCAGACACTGCTGTTCACATACCCCTAGAACCACCTGCCCCGGGCTCCCTGTGACTCTGGCAGCAGCAGGCTGACCTCCTGCCACCTGCTGTCCAGCCCAAGCCCTGACTGTCAAGGTCTCCTTGAGACTCTGCCAGCCAAGCCCTTTCCTCGTGCTTCTCCCTCAGCTCTGATCTTTCCCTGCCTGTCCTCAGCAAGTACAAAGCCAGGCCAAGTTTGTTTTCTGGGAATTCTTTCTTATAAGCTGAGTGGCCCTGTGACCTCACTTCCTCAACAGTCATTTGTTCTGTGTCTCCTATGCTCCAGCAGGCACCAGGCTGGGCCCAGGCTGTGGTGGGGACCACGCTCCTCCTGCCCTAAGTGGCCACTGCCACAGCCCTCCCTGGGCCCTGGGCTTGAACCCTCTCCTCAGCCTGCATCTGTTCCCCCGCCCTCCACTGCAATTCCACTTCCCGTGCCTGCTCAGCTCTGCTCCTGCGTGTCCTTCACAAACATTTCCCTGCCTCCTGTGTGTCAGGCCCTCGAAGACTTAGGAGTGAGTCACAGCCATCCTTGCCCCCAGGGGGCTGCCTGTCTTGTAGTGAAACAGGCCGATCAACAAACCACTAAGAAATGTTTCACTTGAAAAATACTAAGAAGCCCAGAAAAGAGTCAAAAGCACTCATAAACCCTATCACTTTAAAGTTACGTAAAGCACAAAGGGAAAGTCCCCCTTCTGTCCCTCTGATGCCAGCTTACAAAGTACTGCCGGTTGAACAGTTTGGCAGGACTCTTCCCTGCAATTTCCTAGCTTGTACAGATGAAGGGAGGATTATAAATACAGTTTTATACTTTGTCCAGTGCTCTGCACAATGCCTTCTACTGAGGGGGCTGCATGGATGTTTACTGAATCAGGAACGTTTTGCTGCAGTTTTTTCATGCAAGGGTAGGGAAGACATCTCTCTAGGGCAGAGTGTCTGGGATAGGGATAGGCGTTGATTGAAACTTACATTAACTATGAAAACGTTATTTTGTGTTTGGAGAGTGGGGAAAAAAAATCCCCATTTCCATGGTAATAGGACCATGGAAAATAAAGCTTGACAAAATATTTTAGGCTGGTAGGACGTAGTAAATAAAGGTTTCCCAGAGAAACCTCCTGGATGTGTTGGGAATGTGAGGAAAGAAACGTGACGTGTGTCTGAGGGAATCAGGAAGGCTTCTGAGAGGAGGTGGTGTCTGAACTGAGGTGGGACGAGTGGAGTTCACCGGGCAGAGGAGCTAGAGAAAGGGCTTCCTGGCAGTGGGGGCAGCAAGTGGGAAGTGAGAAGGCAGGGCAGGCTCAGGGAGTTGGGGGCGGGGGAGCCAGCTGTGGAAGGTAGGCAAGGATGTGCTGGGAGGGTATCGGTCAGGCCAAAGCTCAGTACCAGGTGGCTGAAGAAGAGACGGGAATATTTGGCTCAGATCACTGAAAAGGCCTGGCTTGGAATATCAGGCCCAACTCCAGGATCCATCTCCCTGTTCCATTCTGGAACAGGCAAAACCGGTGCCAGCATTTCCAAACTTGCAGCCACCCTGTCCAGGGAGATGGAACGTGTTCACTGGCCAGGTACAATTTAGTGTCCACGACCTCTGAGAAGGCAGGGTCCGTCCCTCCTGGACCTGGTGACCTGAGAGTGGGGGAGGGTAAGCCTCCAAAAGGAAGAAATGGGTCCTTGTGTTTGATGAAGAGGCAATGCGGGCCGGGCCAGTCAAAGTGACCCACGTGGAGGTGTGTGGTCAGTGGGTCCGG